AACCCTTGAAGGTTCTGTTTTGGTCTATACTTAATTGCAAGAAAAATTTTACAGGTTTTGACCCTCGAATTTTAGGATACAAAACTATAAAAGTTTTTTTTGCACAGCAAAGGTAATTTATTGAGGATATTGTGGATGTACAAGAAGTACTCCACTAAATTCGTTACAGAATAGCAGAGACTATAAAGCCTACTCTGTTACTCCTATCTTTCAAACTCTTCTACACCCATGCTTACTCTTACCCATCTATAAGACAAGCTATAGGATTACACAACCAATCTGAAAGATAAAAGTGACAACCAGCTATTCTTGATTTAATCCAAAAAAATGATCTTAATTGAATTACTTCCAACAGCTTACCCATGTTTGCTTCCTGGCCTTTAAATACCTTTCTATTCCGCAAAAGCCATAATGACCAGATCACTGCACTCCAAATGCAATCCCATCCCTTTTTGAGTCGGTTGTCATTAGTCCATGCATGGAGGTGTTCGAAGGATTTCCAGCAGTCCGACTCCAGCCTTAATGATATCCCCCACCATTTAGTACACTCCTTCCAGATCCACTTCGCCACTTTACATCTCAAAAACAAGTGGGCTGCGTCTTCTTCTTCCTCTGCACAAAGGCTGCATTTCCCGTCCTCCATACCACTGCCAATTCCTCTTATCAACAAGTTCCTTTTGGTTGGTATTTTGTCAAGCACAACTCTCCAATTAAATGCTGCAATTTTGCTGGGGATATTGTTGTTCCATATTCTTCTGAACAATTTTTCATTTGGATTCTGCTGGGTATTTGATAACAGTGAGTATGCTGATGAAGATGAATACTTGCCATCCCTATTGTGCACCCACTCCCATTTGTCAGTGATTCCTGGTTGTATTTTCACCTTCTCGATCAAATTTGATAGCTCAAGAGCCGACTCCTCTTCCCATTCCATCAGCCTTCTTCTCCACTTTAGGTTCCATTCCCATGTTCCATTGAGCTCCTTCCCCATTTCGTAGCAATTCTTCTCTTTATCTGTTGACAACAAATATAATCTAGGGAACATATTAGCAAGACAGCGTTCCCCACACCACTCATCCCACCAAAAGCTCACCTCTTTACCTTCCCCCAACTTTAGGCTAAAACCCTCCGCCAACCACCCTGCATTGTCCCTATCCGCATTATTAATCCTTTGGACATCTCTCCACCATAAAGAACCCCCATCATTTCCACTTCTCACCCAGGTTTTCCAATGCCCCCCTCCCCCTCCGTATTTTTCTCTAATGACCCTTTTCCACAGCCCTTCTTCATCTGCTGCTAATCTACTCCACCATTTCCCCATTAGCGCTAAATTAAATTTATTCAAATCTTTCACACCGAGCCCCCCGTGTTCCTTAGCTTTGCAAATTCTATCCCACTTAACCCAATTAATTTTCCTCTCCCCTCCTTCTCCCCCCCATAAAAAATTCCTACGAATCTTATCAATTGAATTAAGCGTACCTTTTGGGATCAAGTAGACGGACATCAAGAACACGGGGAGGCTGGACAACACTGAGTTAATAAGTGTAATTCGACCACCTTGAGAGAGATATCTCCCTTTCCAGCTCGACAGTTTCTTCATAACAGATTCTAGCAATGGCTGCCACATTTTAAGCCTTCTATGGTTCCCCCCAATGGGAATCCCCAGGTATTTGATCGGAAATTCCCCTTCTTTACAGCCTAATCTATAGGCCATTTTATTTCTCCAATCATCCTCCACCCCGATGCCCATGAGCTGACTTTTTCCGAAGTTTATTTTCAACCCCGCCGCCATTTCAAATGTCCTCAAGATACACTTAACTGTCCTAATATTTTGCTCCGATGCCTCCCCAAAGAATATGGTGTCGTCCGCGAATTGCAAGTGGGTAACTGATACAGCATCATTTCCGACATCCACACCCTTATATAGCTCCTTCTCGACAGCTGCTGTCATTAATCCATTAAGTCCCTCTGCCACTATCAGGAATAAGAAGGGAGATAAGGGGTCACCTTGCCGAATGCCTTTTGTGACTGGAAATTGTCGAGTTGGGCTTCCATTAATTAAGATTGACACCATACTCGATTGCAAGCACTCTTGGATCCACCTCCTCCAAGTGTCACAAAAGGCCATTCTGTCCAGCATATAATCTAAAAATTTCCAGCACACCTTATCATATGCTTTCTCAAAATCCACTTTGAATACAAAGCTTTTCCTCCTCTTCCTTTTCGCTTCATCAATTACTTCGTTTGCAATGACTACTCCATCCACCAACTGTCTGCCCTTGATAAATGCCATCTGTTGTTCCCCAATAATCTTGTGCATCACTTTGCTTAGACGGCTTGCCATTAATTTTGCAACCACCTTGTACATAACACCAATGAGGGATATGGGTCTATATTCTTCAATTCTTTGGGGATTCTTGGTTTTTGGGATCAACACAATGAAGGAAGCATTAGACCCTCTTGCTAATCTGCCTTGCTCTTGGAATTCCTTGACGAAGCCAATCACCTCCGTTTTAATGTCCTCCCACATGGACTTCATAAATCTGAAGTTGAAGCCATCCGGGCCTGGGGCTTTAGAAGAATCACACTCCCAGATGACTTTTTTAATTTCATCTTCATTGAAGGGTGCTGTGAGGAACTCGTTATCCGCTTGAGATATCTGCTTAAAGTCCATTCCATCAAGTTTTGGTCGTTGCCACACTTCTTCTGTGAATAATTTCTGGAAATATTCAGCCACCCCTTCCTTAATTTCTGTCACTCCAGAGAGTTGCTTCCCTTCAATCATAATGCTACAAATTTCATTTCTTCTTCTTCTTCCATTTACACTTCTATGGAAGTACTTGGTGTTTGCATCCCCTTCTTTGAGCCACATTTTCCTTGATTTCTGTTGCCACATATTCTCCTTGATTTTTAAGTTGTTCCATAAATCAATAAAGCATCCTCTCCTTTTTTCAATATCCATGTGAGTCAACAGACTATTCTCTCCTTTCTTATCTACCTCCTCAATCTCTTTTTCAGCTTCCATGATTTTCCTGTCCACATTTGTCATTGAACTTCCATTCCACATTTTGAGAGCCTTCTTGGTGGATTTCAGCCTTTCTTTGAATCTGAGACCGAACCCGCCCTTCACTTCACAGGAATTCCATGCATTTCTGATGATCTCTGTGCACCCTGGTTGGTCCATCCAAGCATTAAAGAACTTGAACGGTTTTGGCCCCCAATCAACCTTTTCCCTCTTCAGTAAAATAGGACAGTGATCTGAAATTGTTCTTTTTAGACCCCACTGCTTAACATCTTCCCAATTCAGCATCCATTCATTTGAAAGCAGAAATCTGTCCAGTCTACTCATTTGCTGCCCATTTGAATTATACCATGTAAACTTCCTTCCAACCATTGGTAAATCTATCAGTTCAGCTGAATGAATGAAAGCATTGAAGTCCCTCATTTCTCTAGTTGTTTCTCGACACCCATGCCGTTCCCCTGCTGTTCTAATGGCATTAAAATCCCCTCCTAAGCACCATCTTCCTCTCCTATTACAGATCAAGCACTGCAGCTCCTCCCACAGACTTCTTTTGCCAGTTGCATTACATGGGGCATATATATTTACAATATATACTGGTACTTCTTCCTCCCCCCACACCCCATATACTCCGATAAAACCATTGCCCTCCAGAAGCTCACGTTTATTAAAAACCTTAGAATTCCATACACAAAGCAACCCTCCTGACATACCATTTGAAGGTTTATAAACCCAATCAAAATCCACCGACCCCCAAATTCTACTACATATATATCTATCAACCAACTCTAATTTAGTCTCCTGCACTAGTAAAAATTCCACCTTTTCTTTCAAAATCAACTCCCTAATATGTCTTCTTTTTTCGGCTCCCCCCAGTCCTCTTACATTAAATGACAACAGATTCATTATTAACTTCACATACCTCCTCTCTCGCCACTGTTCCGATCTTTTCCCGATCAGTCTTTGCCCGGTTGTCTCTGCTCTCTAATTCCTCCAATCTTTGAATTATATCTTCCTCATTTTCGGCCACTGCTCCCAGCTGCTTTGCGATTTCCCATATTTCCTTGGCTAGGTCTTTCTTCATCTGCTTCTTGATGGATCTATTGCAATTTTGGATGCAGCTGTCCCCAATTGACTCACCAGCTACTTCACCCGTTGGGCTTGCCACAAAACCCGGTTGTACTCTGTTCTCTGCTCTGCCTCGACATCTTCCTCTTCGGCCCCTTCTTTCTTGCAGGCCTTGTTGTGTGAAGCCCTCTCTCGAGTAAACCGAACTGCATGTTCTGATTCGTCTCTTTCTCATCTTTGGGATCCCCTCTGCACTTCCTTGTTTCCGATCTGCTACTCCATTTTCTTTCCTCTCCTGCCCTGTTCCGCAAAGGTCATGGCACTCATTATTGGTGTTCACCGACACCACTTCCTTATGTCTATCTGCAGCTCTTTTGTCTTTATTGCTTTGGGCCTTCATCAAAGTGAAGCTTTGGGCCTGATCCACATTAACGGACTCCTCCCCTGTTGTTGTTTTATTCTTCTTATTGGACTCCTCTATAGATATCCCTTTGCTGGTTTCAATTAATCCCAATTGATACTCCTCCTCATTCATGAGCCCGGCCAGAGCACTAAATGACCTACTCCTTTCCCCCGAATACTCCCACCTTGATTTGAATTTTTCTTCCCTCCCGGTTTGAATTTTCTGCAGGGTGTCAGGGACCTCCTCTACTGTCATCTCACTTACCCTATGGCCTTTTGCTATAGCTTTACCGTTACTCACCTCCCTATAGCTTGCCACGTCATCGTCATCAACCTCAGCTTCCTTGGTTCTTTCTATGGCTCCCCATGCCTCTTCTGCACCATCACACCCCATATCCCCCTCCTCACTTTCCGTCATCCAGGATTCCTGTTCCTCTGAGTCACTCTGAAATGTAGGCAAGAAATCCTGCTTCAAGGAAAAGAAGCCATTGGTGAACTCCTCCTCCGTGAACTTGATGACATACATGGATCCATTAATCCTTATAGATCTCTTGACAGAAATTGATCCCATGATCGGAGTGGATATTAAGAATCGAGCAATGTCGAATCTCCTCTTTTGGCTGGTGCTATCGTCTAGACAGATAAACTTCCCCCAAGCACAGCTCATATCAGTAAAGAATTCGGATTTCCATACATTAAGAGGGACTCCTTGGCACCTGATCCATACAAATCTTTCCTCTGCAACCTTCTCTGGTGTCCATGGGCTCACTTCTTCAAACCACTGTTCTAACCATTCTGATGCCATCTCTACTAGGTCTTTCAATTCCTCTTTATCATCACAGTCTAACAGCACCAACTTCCCCCCCATTGCTCGGATTCTACAAGAAAAATAGCCTTCCATATAGAATTTTTCTTGTAGATTTCGAACCATTTCAACGGAATGCACCTTCCCCACATAGCACCCTTTTAGCCATTCATATTCTTCTTCCTTTACATTGTAATCCATACCGGGCCATTGTTCCCCCCGTCCTTTTTCCTTCCAGATTAGAGTTTTTTCTCCGGCTCGAAGGTCCGTTCCACTGTTGTTTCTTCTATCATCCCTCCCGTGGCTTCTACTCCCGCTGTCTTCCTGTTTTTTCCCTGCCTCCCCTCTTACTTCTCTTCCATAATGCCCTTTCACCACATCCGCATACGTCTTGTTTTGTCTGTTTGGCTCCTCTTTTTGTACCATCCGTTGCTCCACCCCCCTGTTCGGAATTACATTTCTAAACCGTGGACTATTCACCCATAGTTTGAATTCCCCAACCCATATCTGGTCAAGTCTCCTCTCCAGCTCCTTATTGTCCTTTACGTCCAAAAATCTCACAAATCCGAATCTACGACCTTTCTTGCTTCTTCTACTTGGGCTATAAATGTCGAATACCCTTCCAAATTTGCAGAAAGTCTTCCACATCTCTGCATAACTCCAGTCTTCTGGGAAGTTGGTGAAAAAGTATGGCGTTGCTTGCTTATACAATCCTCTGTTATATGTTTCCCCAATACCTGATTCCCTCCCTCGCAATCCTCTCTGTTCCCCTGTGCGAAAGCTCCTCTGATTGCTTCTCCCTCGTGGTCTCTCATGTTCATAACTCAGTGTTGCCTTTGCCGATCGTGTTCGACGTCCGTCTGCTCTCCCTCTCACTCTATCTCTCATGACTCGTGTACAAAACTATAAAAGTTATTATCCAATGAATAATAAAGCAAAGGTTCCAACCCTTGAAGTCACCATACTTGGAATATATTCTTTTCAATTATGCTCTAATGGTCATAATTCATTAATTGAGCAATCTTAAGGCAAAAATATTAGACCTTGAAGCAAAGATGGACACAAACGAAGAGCTTTCAACTTTAGAAACAAAGAGAGATTGAACTTTCACTTTTGTTCTTTGAGAAATGAATTATTTTTTACACTTGTTTTTATTCTCTTTCATTATAACAACTGAAAAAAGGATTGGATAAACCTTGTTAGATTTAATAATCTATCCTTGAGGTATAGTAAAGATAGAGAGATTTGTAATAAAGGGATTGCATAGTTCAATAGCATCCATAAAGTATTAGGAGAGTGATTAGGTAATCTTGTTAAATTTAAAGAAAAGCATCGTTGTCATATAAGATTAGGTTTGTAAGAAATTGTAATAAGGAGTTGAATTATTAAAAGTGGATAGTGTTGATAAAATTATCTAAAAAGTTGAAGGAAAGCTTTTGAATTTAAAACAAACTTTGAAACAAGTAGCTTGAAAAGTAAATTAAGCATAAATTATGACCAAATCACTATAAATCTTTTTATTTGAGTTTTCTTTTCCCTTAACTTTTAATTTTTATACTTTAAATTATTTATTTGTAATTGCTTATACTTACTCACTGTTTTGTTTTTGAAAATTACATAAAGTTTTTAAAAATTCAATTTACTCCCTCTTGAGTTGCTATCATCTGGGCCAACATTTTCCTACAAAATATAAACAAAAATGAAAATCTTAATATCTCATATTAGTATTAGAGAATTTTTAATATGGACAATATTTTTTTTATAGTGAAATATTAAAAAATTATAAATAAATAAATAAATATTGTAGATAGTCTTATTTAATAATTTTAGAAAAATGATACATATATCCTACATACAAAATTTTACTCTATTATATGCCCACGATTTTTATTACTTATATTATTAAAACTAACTATTTGTATTACTTTTGTTGTTAAAACTAAGAATTTTCAGTTACGGATGCCGTTGTTCTTTCTTAAATAGTCAAACTGTATAAATTAAAAAATACCGTCGGTATGAAAATACTAAAATAACACTTTTCAGTTAGAACTATTGCACAGAGGAAGAGAAAAACAAAGAAACATGTGCGATTATATATTCGAAAAACTAAAAGCAGAAGACAAAGTTCCTTTTTTTTTTTTTCTTTTTTTTTTTTTTTAATTTACAGAGGAGGGAGCAAGTTACATTTCTCTCTGAGATCGGGACTAGTGAAATTAGCACAAACCAAACCAGGAAACAGGAAATTAACAGCACAAACAAACAAGCAAAAAGTTTCAAGAAACTGAGAAACATTAACCATTAATTAGTGTTCCCAAGATGGAAAGGAGGAACCACAAAACACAACTCCTCTTCCCCTGCATCGTCGATCCTTAGTCTCCTATATATAGATCAGTCATTTTCTTTACTCTGTTTTGTTGGTTTTGCACTTTGTTTACGTACTGGCATGGATCTTGTCGTAAAAGCAGAGTCAGAGCCAGAGAGCGCCTGCTTCCTTGAGCAGAGGCACGAGAGTGCCGTTGATATGAGAAGCCATGACTCTGTCCATGGCGCCTACCATCTTGCCGCCGATGAAGACCACGGGGACGGCGGAGGAGGTGCCGAGAAGGCGCATGAGGGCCTTTTCCATGTCCTTCCCTCTGGGGTCGTCGTCCAGCTCATAGACGGTAGGGTTAACGCCCATGCCGCAGAATAGGCGCTTAATGGCATGGCACATGCAGCAGGTACTTATGCTGAAGATGACCACCGCATTCTCCGAGGCCAGCTTCTCTATGCGCTCCAGAGGGTCACCTGCGACACTACCTTTTGCCGCCGCTGGCACGTATGAACCCCATGACTGAGCTGTCTGGTATTGCATTTTGCCTGATCAGAAATAAGAAAGAAAGGCAGAATTAATATATACTAGTACTAGCTAGCTAGCAATAGTATAGAAGAAATGGATGGAATTCTGAATGAGTGAGGATGACAGAGTGTGTTGAGCTTGGTATTGCTATTTATAGAGGAGAGTGAGCAGAATATTCAATATTGGATAATATATACAAGTATTGTATTTCAATATATATATATATTGAGGGTACTTTTGTGAAAATAATACTAATTAATAAATTTGTCCTTTTGTAATGAATAAATTTTTATGTTTGGTCTCCTTGTACTTGTAGTTGTCATCAGCACAGGGAGAGGGATTCACCACCCATTAGACATTAAGGTGCACGGCTTTAACAGTTGTTGGTTAATAAACTGCTGCTTCCGCCTGTCCTTGTTGTCGGCCCTACCCAATCTTAAAGCAAACATTATATAATCCTAATATATTAAAAAAGTGTTGTCTCTCTCTATAATTTTTTTATTTTTGAACAGGGAGAATTTTAGGGGAAAGAAATTTTAGGGTTTAAGATTTCAACTCAGGTTATTATGTCCACCGTGTATTTTTAAAAGGTTAATCACTAGACCATCAAAAGTTAAACATTTCTATATATATAATTTAAATTATAGATGAAATAATACATTAATATTAAGAGTTTTTTTTTCTCTCATTTAATAGTATTTGTATTTGTTTGTTTGTAATGTAAAATAAGAGACTCTTAGTACATTGTGATTCTAAATTTTTTGAAACCACACCCTTGTTAAGTATTATTGTTATAATGTTCTTATGTACAGTTGTTATACAATATCTTTTTTTTAAGGGTAGTTTTTTTTTTTTAAAAAAAAAACAGACAATAGATTTTTGATGGGTGCGTAGTTATTATACAATATCAAATGAACGTACTGTTTATAATTTACTATTTTTTACTTAAGAGTCATACGTAAATTAATATATACAAATGTTGATTTATATTACGCTACATTATATAAATATTATACAAAGCTTGAAAGAAAAAAAGAAGAAAGAAGAGGAAAATTAAAGATGGTGGAAGAGGTCCGGAAGGACAGTAATCGCTTATTTTGGTATTTGGCTTTGGGCCTTGGGCAGAGGGAGGAGAACATGGGCGGGTACGAAGAAAAGGAAAAAAGGTTATTATTTGATTGTGTGGTTGTCGGCCTCTTTTACATATATACTGACATATCTGCGTTCTGTTCACTATTCATATACCAGAAATTGAAATTTCCTTTCTGTTTCTATTCAAACAAATGGTGCAGAGGCACCTGGCCTTCGGGTTAAGTAACTTTTGAGTTATTTTGAAGGTGTAATCCTCTTTTTTTTTTAATGGGTTGGAAGTTTGAACCTTATTCTTGACACTTTGTTTAAAAAAAAAAAAACAAACAAAAACAACAAATGATGCAGAGACCATCATCACCATGCTACCCACAATATTATTCCATTAACACTATACGGTCTATAAACAGAAATTAATGCTCCTGATCGATATATATATCGTGCAGAGATGAGAGTGATGATCATCATCAGTACAGTCGAAACAAATTTATTAAGAATTGTATATATAAATAATTCATTTACACATAAATTTTATTTATTATATTTATGTAAAATTTTAATTAATTAATTAATTATTTTTAATAATTAAAATTTATTATTATTTTTTAAATAAAAAATAAATTATCTTTAATTAATATAAATATATCTAAATTATTGAAATTTAAAAAATTAATAATTAAAAATTTACATAAGTATAACATATAAAATTTATATATAAATATATTTTTATCATGTACATATATGCCATATATATATATATTTTTTGATAAAGGGTAATGGTTAAAAAGTTAGTATGAATTAATTGTTAGTAACTAGTTTTCAAATTGGGTAAACATTTCACCCTCCTCAAATGAGGCGCATGGCCATAAGTCAAGTGGTTTTTTAGTGGAGTTCACGGCAATGGTAAAACTCGAAATTCCAACTACCTCACGTAAGCACTTAAGGTTTAGTGTCAAATCATTGGATCTAAAAGTCGGTTCATATATATCCCATATTAGTATATATA